GGAAGCTTAAAAGCAGCATTCCTGGGAGAAGTCATAAATGATTCATTAGAAAATTTTCACCAATCCAATATCCTCAAATTGCACAAATATTAAAAGTGTCCCAAGTATGCAACAGGTGGAGATGAAAACCAAAGGTGGCATGGCAGCCATCATGTGGCTCAGCTTTGCTAGGTCTTTGTCAAGCAGCTGTCCTGGCTTTATGACTTCTGCCATTCCATTCAGATATGGCTGTGCCAGGCCTATATAACTTTAGTAAATGACTCAGTTCTCTTTCCAACTCCTTCAATTCTGTCCCAAGCATTCAAAGCTGCTGCATGGCATAGATGGTGTGGTCATGATATAGAGACTGTCTTTGTACACCAGCATAATTGTCCTCTCCAAGAAGTTGGTCTTGGGAGATCTCAATACCTCGAGCCCTACTTCATTGTTCAATGGTCCTAGCCTCTTCTTTCCACCAAGTCCTCCACTGTAATTGAGGACCAGGTTCCAGTATTTTTGTAACCAACTCCCTCTAGTCTTGTGGGACAATTCTGTTACTAGTTGACCATGAATTTAACATCTGCTTCACAAAAGGTGAATGCAGACTATATGAGACTATGGCTTCCTTAATTCGCCTCAAATCTAACATTTCCACAGGAATCCAGTCAGCTCTTACATAGCCTTGGGGATACCTGTCATTTGGCAGTTGTTTCTGTAAGGTGACTGGATAAATTACAGTGGGGTGTTTGATAACCTTAGGCATTTCCTCTCTAATTTTATAATGTAATGGTGAGGTTGGTTGTCTTATATTTCTCTCTCTGTGTCTGAATATCTCTATTATCTGTTTTAATACATTTTTCTAAGGCTTGTAACTGATCAGTCAAATTGCATTATTTTCTTTAGTACTTAGTTGTAGAGCTTGCATACTATCAGTAATAACCTTTTCTAATTGGTGCTCATATCAATCAAGTCTTTTACGGATAAAACAAGAATTATCAAACCGATATTTATAATTGACATTATGTAAGTCCCACCTAAATTAATTTTCCCCTCATTTGTTCATTGTGTAATCATACAGAGACCTAACTCCCTCCATCATAATAGTGTTTCCCATTTTTTGACACGGGGGGGGGGGACCCCTCTCTCTCTTTTTTAACTGATTCCCCCTCTTAAGAATTCCCAATTGTCTCACCAAATCTGCTGCTGCTGATGGTGAAGTGTGAGGCTAGCTGCCTCTGTATAGCACATCTGAGCAGAGAACGCATGCAGCTTTTCTCTGCATAGTCTTTTTTACATAAGCCATCTATAAAAGTATTTAAAAAAATCTGTATAGGATTTTAAGAGGTAACTTTAGGCAATACTTGTGAAGTATGTTTATAAAAAATTAAAAGGAGCATCCTTTTTATAGATCCCAAGTAACATGTTAATGCAACCTGCCAATTATTAACAGTGTGGATCAAAAAATTTACCTGTATTTTAGTTCATGGAAAAATAATTTTTGTAGGCTCTTTATCAGTAAGAGATTATTTTTTATGAGCTTTCGCCTTAGTAGCCACATTATTTAATAAGTTAGCAACCCACTGTTCCAGGTACTATATTTTTATAGAATTTAACCAACAATTTCCGGAAAGCAACTTAAAGAGCAAAGCCAATTTTTCAGTAATAATAAACAGACAAAAGCATACCCAATAATATAGTTTAAAATCATGAATTTTGTTTAGTTCATTTGCTATGAAAATTAAACATTCATCTAAACAGACTATCAAGAGTAGTGAATATCCTCCATACAATGAATGAAATTCAAACAGCTTTGGCTTAGTACTTTTTTTTTTTTTTGGTTTTTCGAGACAGGGTTTCTCTGTGTAGCTTTGCACTTTCCTGGAACTCGCTTTGGAGACCAGGCTGGCCTCGAACTCACAGAGATCCACCTGTCTCTGCCTCCTGAGTTCTGGGATTAAAGGTGTGCGCCACTACTGCCCAGCGACTTAGTACTTTTTGCCCTGACCAAAATTTGTTTTTTATTAGAAGTTGGGGTTGTTTAATTTTTTCTTTCTCCCATGAAGGAACCATTGATAATGAGTTATTCCCACTATTAGGGGAAAATAAAAAAACATTTCCTATGAGGAGACTTTTGATATTGAGTTATTCCCACTCTGAGGAAAAAACAACAACCATTTAAACTAAACAAACAACCAGAAGTTGTCAGCTCTGGGCTGGTTGTGCTGGCTCTGGCTGCAGCAGTGAAGCCTGGCTGTCATTCTTTGTAATTCAGATGGCGCCGCTCTATGCTGGCAGGCCTATCCCTGAAAGAACTGCCAGGCACAGTGTAGCCAGAGAGAGAGCTCTGAGTTTCAGCTCTCCTCAATTTCTTTCTTTCTTTCTTTTTATTGGGAAGAACCTTTTTTTCTTCCTTTATTTCCATTGGGAAGTGGCTTTTTTCTTTCCTTTGTTTTTTGTTTATGGGGCCTGTGTGGGAGACCAGCTCCCACCTTTTCCAGGATTCCTATGAGGAGCATAGAGGAAGAAGAAAATATTAGAAAGTGGAGAGGAGACGGACAGAAAGACAGGATAGTTTCGGGAGTACCTGGATCAAAATCCACCACCCGCCTCTGTCTCTTCAAAAGGGCTTTTTATGACAATGCCAAAGGGTGGGGCAAAAGACCTCCCCCTAGCAAGATCAAAGCACACCACACAGCCAAGTGTAGACCCTTCCAAACACATGGTAACTACACTTCTGGGAAGCAGAAGCCAGAGAATCAAAGCAAGTTGGAGGCCAGTCTGATCTACAAAGTGAACTCCTGGCCAAGGCAGCTACTAAATGAGACACTGTTTCAATAACCAGAACTGAGTCAGGGGACATAGCAGTGGATAAAAGCACTGACCATCAAGCCTGATAGTCCTAAGGTCTGATTCCCAAAAGTTGTCCTCTGACTTCCACATACACTCAGTGATGCAGAGACACCACACACACACACACACACTTTTTTTTTTTTTTTTTTTTTTTTTAAATTTGATTTACTTCTTGGTAGTTAAAGTTCCAGATTCAGTTCTGGATGATACCAATATAAATTCCATATCTAACTACCAGAAAGTTTCAAAGTTCCACTGGCCAAGCATAAGACAGATAGCATTTGAAACTTTAAAAAAAATGTTTGTTCCATGTGCCTGTATTTTTCTCCCCCACAAAAAATGGGTGGAGATGACATTTTAACAATTAAATGCTTAACTGTTAAATATTTCAAATTCTCCTTTGTGTGTCCTTAAAGTCCTCTCCTGCACATACCACTTAAAAAAAATACTGCCTTAGTAAGTGCCCTAATCATTGCATCCTTGTCACGCTGGTCTATGTATTAGTAACTATGTATTGAAGTGACCACCTTTCCCCACTAGACTCAAGAAGGATCTGGGTCTGGGTCCTGCAGAACGCGGGACTCCCAGTGGATGACACATTACAAGTGAAGACGCACGTTCCTTTGGTGTCTTTCGCCTCAGGCTGACCACGAGCCCATCGGCTGTGCCTGATGATATCTAGCAACCTTACGTAGTCATTTTGCAGCCTCCATATTTCTCCGTTGCAAAGTGGGAATAATTCGTACCTGTCTCCAAGTGCTGTAGGGAGGAGCCAGGCGATGAGTGTGAAAGTATCGCAGCAGAGATTAGTTAATTCACTCATCATTTAACGGGCAATTAAGCTAGTAGGCCCGCTATTACAGTGCCACACGTGTTTCTCCGGCAGGTCGTAGCCTTTCGGACGTGTGCTTGGGACAGGACCTCGCCTCTGGGCTGGTCTCCCGCGGCACGCAGGGTGGTGGCCTTATTAAAAATGGCGCAGGAGGCTTCGGAGGCGAGTGCGGCGGCGCGGACTCAGCGTGCCCTCTGACCTGTTGGCAGCGGGCGGGGAGGGGTGCCGGGTGCCGCCATATTGGCTGTTGTCCTGTGAGGGGAGCGGCGGTGGCAGCGGCGGCGGCGGCGGCGGCGGCGCGAGGGGAACCAGCGAGCGGGGGAGCGGCGCGAGAGGCG